GCTTCTTTACTATTCCTTCCATCCAGGACCAGGAGACACACCAACTGCAGGTACTTTCTCAGCCTGACAAAGGGTTTTTCAACCCAAAAGCTTCCTAAGATATATTTTTTTAAGTATTCCTTTTTTTTTTCCATAATAAACATAAAAACACAAGATAAGCCATCACACACCACGAGTAACATCATATGTCCAACACAACACAACATCTTTACTTCTTGCTGTCAATTCCTTTATAAAAAGAAAGGCTCTGTGACAGGTCCGTTTGGGTACCTTTCATGCTGCTGCTGATGCTACTGGTGCTGAGCCAGCTAAGTTATTTTGACCTGCTGTCGTTTACAGTAGTGGACCGGACCGTGGCTGTAGGGGAAGAGAAGACCTCACTGGGGCACATTGCCATGTTGTGCAGAGGCCCCAGCACCAGGAAGGGCGCACCTGAACACAAGTGTGTACACACACACACACACACACACACACACAGTCGCACAGTGAGAGCACACCTTAACAGACACACTAGAGAAGAAGCAGCTCCTACTCGACAGAAAAGAGGGGCTCTCTGACAGTTTGGCCACCTGAGATGCTGCTAGTGCTGCTGCTAGTGCTCAGTCAATCACTAAGTTATTTTACCTGTTGTCATGTAAAGTGGTGGACTGGTCTGAGGCTGTAGGGGAGGAGGAGACCTCACTGAGGCACACTACCATGTTGTGTAGAGGCCCCAGAACCAGTGAAGGTGCACCTTAACACACACACACACTGTCACCCACACATGTCATGAGTTTTGCCTGCTAGCAGCCAGAGGTGCAGGGTAGCCAGAGGGGCAGGGCCCCAGGACCTCCCCCTGCACCTATCTCTTTGACAGCTGGCAGGTTTCGTGGCTGCAGCAGGGCCTGGCAGGCCTGCAGTAGTGTTTTTCCACCCCCTGCACCCTAAGAGAGAGAGAGTCACAGAAGCACCCATGTCACGAGTTTTGCCTGTTAGCAACCAGAGGTGCAGAGCCCCAGAACCCCACTCTGCACCTATCTCTTTTACAGCTGGCAGTCTTCGTGGCTGCAGCAGGGCCTAGCAGGCCTGCAGTTTTCAACCCGCTGTGCCTTAATACACACACAGTGTCACCTATGTCATAAGTTTTGCTTGTCAGCAGCTTGAGGTGCAGTTTTCCATAAACCCCTGCACCTATCTCCTTGAAACTTGGCAGACTTTGTGGCCTCAGCAGGGGCTACTACCCCTGCAGTTTTTACCCCGCTGTGGTTTAACACACACGTGACACGAGTTTTGCTTTCAGGACTTTGAGGTACAGTTTCCCAGAAACCCCTGCACCTATCTCCTTGAACCTTGGCAGGCTTCATGCTTGCAGCAGAGACTACCACCCCTGCAAGTTGCTTCTGAATCAGACAAAAAAGAACAAAGTTATAGATATTTCACTGATTCCCCATTATACCCTATGGCCGAATCGGCTCTGAATCAAAGTGGAAAACCAATTTGGAGCTCCGAATTGAATTGCTGGCATCCGAATCGGCAGAATCCAAACCCAAATCAAATAGGTCCCTATTCGCACAGGCCTAATATTAACCTCTACTTGGTCACAGCTC